GAAAATATATTTAGACACATCTATTTGCAGATTAGCTACAACCAGTTAATTCAGCACAGCATACAATTTATTCTCTGCTGGCAAAGAAAGGCAGGATTTGGTCTCCTCACAGATTACCCAGATAGCAAGCAAATTTGAAGGCCTTTCTTTAGGCAACCAAAGAGCCACTATTGGTCCGATGCTGCCAAAGCTGTTTGAAAATGATCACAGTCGTCAGATTTTGACCAACTGACCAGATAATGATATACTGTCATCCAAACAGCAACGTCGGCCTAACATTGGCTAAGACACTTGAGGTCCCAGAAACATATTTTTACAGGCTTCCTACGGAAGTTCAACTTTGTGTCCACTGGGTAGCTTTTTTCTGTTAGCAGTGTTAATCAAGCATCAAGGGGGAATGTCGGTGCAGTATGGCTGAAACTTTTTTCACGTTTTAAACATTTTAAACTACTCTAGTAGCAAGGAATTGGTGCTGCAGCCTGTCAAGTCACAATTCATGTCTATGTCAAATTAAGTGACAACTTAAAACTAATCCTGACGCACTAAATCATGCAGGAGCTTCTAGGATTACACATGAAGACTTATTATTATTATTATTATTATTATTACTACACAAATGAGAATCAGAGTCATCAAGTTCAGGCTGAATATCAGATATACCAAAAAACAAACAAACGGTCAGTTCAATATATACAAAAAGCTCTCAGTAGGCATTATGAAATATACAGTATATAGGTAATAACAGGGCTTTTGATTTGTTGACAGGAAATAAATAATGTCTATATTCAAAGGAAATCTGTTCCAAGAGAGAGACAACTGATCACTTTGGTTGTCTGTGTAAGTTACATCTGTTTATTGCTCTTAATACGCGTCCAGTACAAATGCAACTACTATAATATCTTTACTACTTTATCATGTGTACAATGTGGTCGTTTTATTGGCAGCAGGAAAGTGAAAACGGCTGTCAACGTTCAATAGTTGAAGAACTTTTTTTGTTCCAAATATAAATAACCCACCTCAGTGTAAAGTCGGCAAGATTCAGTGTGACTGGTTCTGTCAGCTTTCTACTCTGAACTGCAATCATGCTGTGTATCAGTGAAACAGACTGCTGCACCTTAAAGAAGAGCACCAAGTGGACACAAAGCCATCAACATGCTTCCTTGTGTAGAAAGCTTGAACTGAGACAGCCAGTAAACTCAGTAAACAGTTTACATAATATTGTGCTTTAAAATGTTCTTCCACCATCTTAAAACCCCCATAAAATCATGCTCCAGTTCCATACATCCAACCATCCAACCCTAAACCCCACCCCCACCCACCCTCTTCAATGCATCACACCCATGGGAGGGAGTGCAAGCTTGCACTTCTTCTCATGGATGTGAGACATCACACAGTCCCGACTCAGATCCCACCGTCATATACAACCAGATGAAAGCTACATGTGAACAGCACAAACCCAGGCTAACAAGACCTCAAAAAGAAAAGAAAAGACAATAACACAGTGGGTAAATAAAAACAAAAGTAAACCAAACTACCCAATCCGAACATTTTTTAAATGTTCGTCAGAACTGTAATGCAGGAGGGCTGCTCTACAGTTACATCAGAAAAAAGCATTCACTGAGCGTGCCCATCTTACAAATATATCTTTACATATATAACTATTTACATGCAGAGTAGCAGTCATAGTAACACATCCACTTCCTCGTCCCCTGGGCTAGCACGGCTGTGGTGGCTTTGAGGAGGATTTCATGCTACATGCTAGATGGCACCAGGTTTCTTTGAATGTGCATTAGTGACAACTGGAAGCTGAGACGGCACTCTTTTGGTAAGTTTGGCAGCATTTGGTTCCACGTGAGCAAGAGATCAACTGAAACTGAACAGCCCTGATTAATAAATGGAACAAAATGCTTAAGATCTTTCTGTCTTTTGACCACAACTTCTCCACAGTGTGGAATTGTAATTGATCAGATAATGACAAATTCATAACTTTACATTTATAGGTCAGCCTGAGTATCGCACCTTAGTACTTTACAAGTATCGACCGATGTGCCTGTAGAACCATATGTCAACAGCTGTCAAATAGTGAATGTTAACATTGAATGCTTACTCAAATTTGGAATCTTGTTGATTTATTCTTTAATATGATATTTACATATTTGAATACTGTCAATTGGTTATGAACTAAGGTACTGAGAACAGTTTGGTACCAAAACTCAGGCACTGAATTGGAACTACTATGTATACTATTACATTTCAAGTGATACAAGCCCTATTTATTCCCTGCCATAGAGCGTGTACAGCCTCTACCCTGTGCGACATCTTGCTGTGAACTGTTTTGATACATGAATGTTTTGATACATGCTGATAGGGAGGAAAACTGAGGGAACTAAGGAATATATTACTCTTTTTTTCACAAACTGAAACTCATGGTGTATCCCAAATCCATTCATTCAATATCTTGTACTACATACTAATCCTTATACTATACTGTTTTAGCAGTTAGTATTAAGAAATGAACATACTTTACCATTATTGTGCAATGTTGGATGGAATATCACTGCTAAATAAACTCTTTTTAATTGTTAATTTCCAAGATGTTTTCTGGAGCTCTCTCACCATCATCCACATTTATTTAAAAATATTTCCACTTGTGAGCAGCTCCTCTATCTTCTTTGTGCACGGTGACAGCACGCTCAAATTGTACACTGTATTAAGTATGCACACTCTCTGGTTTGAGTACACTTCACTTTGTCATTTACAGTACACCATGGATGCATATTCAAAACCTGCTAAGAATGAGTATGCACTATGGAATTGGGACATCCCATCAGTTTCATTTTGTTCGGCAGCTATCTCTCATTCTCACATTTCGGGGATTCCCCCTTTTGATTCAAGGGAAGGCGACATCCACGTGGAGCTGGATGCAGCCTTACTGTAATCTATAAACTCACCTGCCAAGTAGGGATGGGACAAACAATCGATACAGCAATATATCACAATACTATCTCCTGTGATACTGAGACGGAGCTGCAACTTTCTTTTACTCCAGAATGTTTAGCTCTGAACTGTTCTGATTTCTGGCAATTTGGCCTTTTGCAGTTAGCAGGAAACTGAAAAATATTTTTTTTATATTTTTTTAATAATACTTTTCGCATATATTTAGCAATTTTAGTTTTTCTCTTCAGTTGCATACTTAATCACAGATGATTGTCTTGCAGTATATGACAAAATCACATGTTTAGTGATTCGATTCTGAGCAATGTATCGTGATTTCCCAACCCTACTGCAGAGTGCTAAATTAGTATTTATCTGGTCAAAATAGTCAAGTTAACATTCTTCATCGAAAGGCCATGTTTTAATGTTAATGTAGTAATCAGACCGAGACATTAAAAGTTAAATTTAGAAATGAGTATGTTAGCAAAGAGCTTTATTTTAAAACAACCTCATACACATTTATTTTTATTTTGTTTCTCACATGACTACTGCAGGCAGTATGGAGAGCAGCCAATCAAAGGCCAGTTGTTTTCAACCTTGAAACTTTAGTAACTTAGTCAAGCTCACTTGTTACTTGTCTGTGCAAACCAAATAGTACATCATCTCAGCTCAGATTTTTCAATAAAATGGCCCACTGTTCAGCTCAAATCTCGCCCAGTTCCCAGTTGTCATGATTGCTTCATTACTGCCACCTTAATCCATTGCACAACCAACAGGCTGTAGCATTTTCTGAGAAGATTTGGTCTTTGATTATTTGTTCTCTTGTCATAAAAAGCCCAAATAAAACAGTCACCCCAGAAAAGCTCAATTTGGTCAAACCCAAGATCTGAATCACTGATCTTAAATTTAGGTGGGGGGGAGAGGGGGATTTCAACCACCACCAACCCTAGGAGCCCTGAGGATGAGGGAGGGAGGGCAGGGGAGGGGGAGGTGCATGCAGGGGGTAGGGAAGGGGGAGGGGGGTGACGTCTGGGTCTTCTTGTCGTTCAATCATTCCTGTCAGAGAGAAGCAGTGTGTCTTTAAGGTGTTGTAATGATTTCCTGTTTTGAATTAAAAACAAAACACAGGTACAGTCAGTACATTTTGTACAAAATGTTTAGTCAGCTTTAAAAAGTGAAAAAAAAAAAAAAAATGAAGGCAGACAAGTTTTTGTATTGCAGTCTTAAGTTTTGGCCATCATTCAATGTTTGTTGTCACTGAAATGCAGAGAAAACCAAGGTGACAGTTACTTTAAGGGCAACTTCCTGGTTAAACGTTTACCTACAGTACTCACCGTAGATGTACACAGTTTTGTGACAGTTTGCTTTTCCTCGTTTTCACTTTCAAATAAACGATTTCGATAACTTAACGGCTTAATGCCGTGTTCACATCATACGGGATAACAACTTGTAAGTGTTCACGTCATCAGGATATTTTAATGATTAGAGTTAGTTGTTTGAGGATGAATAAACTATTCAATGACAGCAAGACACCATATCCATCCAATTTGGGTTTGAGGACAGTGAAAGGTGAACTCGGTTGCTGCTGGTTTGTTTGGACCTTCTGTATTTTTAAGTGCACAGTCAAATATATCAGAGGTTCCAGAGTTTCCAATTGTAATTACAATAAGTGAGAACATCATAATTATGATAACTCCGATTTGATGTGAACGCGGCATGAGCCTCAATGTTAGTTATTTGAAAATGTGACTTTAGCGACTCCTTGTGTTAGTATTTAAAAACAGAATCTGGCAGACAGTGCAAACAAAAGTGAATTAACAAAACAATCTACACATGCATCACTTCAGATGATGGCCACATTAAAAATGAAAAAAAGAAGAACCAGCAGCATACTCTTTAGTAGAAAATAATTTACATTTGAATTCATTTACAGTGACTCAATGCACCTTAAGCAGTTTGGCATGATACATAGCCCTTGTGCTGCATTTATGACACAGGAAATGGGAAAACTATCTAAAGTGGTATTTTAACTGGAATTTAAAAAGTATGTCAATGTTTTGTTTTTGTTTGTTGTTTTTTTTGGCTGATCTTACACATAAGATTAGGTTACAAAAAAGATGACAGTGCTGTAGTGCAGTTTAATCAGCCAGTTTACATTGGACTTTATGTTCTGTATATGCAGTGCACACAAAGACACTCCTAAGGTCTGAATAAAGTCAGCTGAGTTAGAATTACATGTCAAAGACCAATTTACATTTCTAACTTTTCATAATCCCAAGTGTACATGCACATTCATGCCAAACATTCTTTATAAATAATTGTGAATCACCTGATGCAAAATACCTATTTAGGAGTATTGAATACCTGCAGAAGCACCTTTTTACCACAAGGTGGCACCATTTCATCTGATTACAGATCAGCCCCTTACTGTACTTACCAATAAACAAAAGCCCTATTAAAGCTTTGTAATCATAAAACACCGCATGCATCACTATATTGGATATTTGGCCATTACCTAGATAGAAAATTGCTTTTGATGACACAAAATGTGTTCAGTAGTTCAATGTTAAACAAAGACAAACAATGAAGCAAAAAGACATCAGCCTTCTTGTCACATAGGACATTTGCTAATGTCACATCTCATATAATTCATTAAATCTTGCAAAATTAACTTTTTTTAGAGTATTGTATGTTATGTAGTGCTAGAAATCCCTCACCCTCACCGCGACCTCTGGACCGCTTTCATTAGGTCGGTGTTGAATGTGGTGCGACTTGGTGAAAGTTGTCTGTCGTACCAGTCAGCAGGGACAGAATTTAGCATGGTGCCTCAGTGCCAGCAGGTTTCTCAGAATTATTCTGCTCATCATCATATGACAAACACAGCAGCGATGCTCAATGTCTGCTGTTTCATTGCATCAAACGTGATTAAAGAGAAAGACTCCTGACACCAAACTCCTCCATGAGTCTGCTGCTGGTTGCTAATATTTTACCATGCAGTATGCTGAGCAATACTAGTTTTCCTTTATTATTCTATTTGGTCGTCTACTTCAATTATCTCTTCTTTTCCCCCTTTCTCTCTTTTTACCTGTTTAATCATCTCTCCAGTTCTCTCGATGACGATGGTCTTGGCTTCTTTGACGGGCGAGGTGACCTGGTAGTCGTCGCTCAGCAGGCCGAGGAGAGGGTACTGGTTCCTGTACCTATACATACACACAAAGTCACACATATTGACATATTGTATGGCTTGAACAGACAAATTTAAGTTTTCAGTGATATCAATTAGTTTTTTTAACCTGCTGGGGCAGACCTTTTTTTATTAATCTCCTGAACTGTCAAATTAGATATTTCTACCTCCTAGTTTTACTTTTTTTCTTTTAACTATCAAATACTCACTAACAGGTTTTCACTTTTGTGTAGTCAGCTCGCATTCACAGCAGTTAAATAGACCAAAAGTAATGTTGAAAAAATGTGTTAGGACGTATCCACTCGAGCTGCATAATCCACTTTCCCGTTGAGTCGCATTGGTCAGTGCTTCAAACAATGGTTGCTTTGCTAATTTATCATTAAATCTGCTACTTTCAGCAGAGCTTCGGTGCTATGAAGAGGCAATAGTGCCATAAGGAAGTCTGCATTTTAAACTGGAAACAGTTTTAGTTTTTAATAAATAACATTGGTTAAAACTGTCAGTGTAGTCTAGTCAAGCTACAACTTATGATTATTTTCATCATCAGTTAAATGGCTAATTATTTTCTTGATTGATCACTTCGTTCGTCGTTATAAAGACAGCAAAATGCCCATTTTCCAAGGGTCCAAGGTAACATCTTAAAATTGCTTCTTCTTTGTAAACGTTGTGTAAAAACATGCACTGCTGTGTGGTGTGTAATCTGTGTGTAGTTTGCTGTGATGTTTTACCTCTTGGTGATGATGGTCTTGGTGACGTTCTTGGAGCTGTCGTTCCTCTCGTGCATCAGCTTCCTGATCTCCTGAGGGCCACGAAAGATCAAAGGTCGGTGGTAAGCAAGCTAAGAAACTTAGCAACAGGTACTGTTTGCTTACAAGCCAGTGTGTTTCATACAAATACAGTAGGTGCTGTATGCTGAAGTTCACTAAAATAATATATATGTATTCATACCTTTTTGTTATTTTGTTTTTTATTATCCAATTGGGTCTCATTTTATAACTTCTATAGTTAAATTGGAAAAGGAGTTCTGTAGTGGATTTTCTTATTCTCTCATCTGCATCTCTTCTTCAGTTTCTTTATTTCAATTCACTGCAAATGAACTTAAACCAAAACTGTCTGCAGCTTTTTTGTGTGTTTGTGTGAGCAACTATAACAAAGGCAGGTCAGGCCAGCAGCGTTCACATTCCTAAGGTTAAAATTAACTGACAGCCCGCTTCAGTCGGTGCTGCACGAAAACAAGAATGCAGTAAGACCTGAAAGGTGAAAACTAAACAGTGTAATGAAGAAACATATCAGGTCACAAGCCTGAGAGAGAGAGTGTGTGTGTG